AGAAATTCCGTAACAGATATCTTGGTAAAGCAAATAATCTTTATAGAAAGCTGTTTATTATTTTCATGGCCTGAACTTTCATATATCTTTTTACTTCAAATGTGGGCCCTCCACAGTAGTACAAAATGTACTAACCTAAAATAAATTCCATTCTACATTAATCTGCTCAAATTCACATTCATGAGTGCCGTTTCTTTCCCTTCCCAACAATCCATTGCAGCACTATGCCCCTCATTTAGACTAAGAGGACATAAATATTTCCCTACAAAAGAGGCCTTCATAAGGACATTTACTCAAAGATCACACAAACGATGAACAAAAAGAAAGATGAAGTTGTTTGTTCTGCTCTATGAAGCTCAGCAAAGCCCTGCCTAATTTCCCAGGCCTGATTCCTTGTAGGCTCTGCACATGTGGGAAATCTGTTTTCATAGCATATCTACAATCAGTTACTACATTTCAACACAGACATCTTAATTTTTCTTGAGTCTCTTATTCTAAGTCAGGGTGTGATAAAATTGTCTCATCTGAGATACATTTGGCTAAAACAAAGTAGGCATTAGAAGTTAAATAGGTCCTCCATGAGCACTGGGTGTTATATGGAAACCAACTTGACAATAAACTATTTGTAAAAAAACAAAAAACAAAAAATAAATAAATAAAAAATTTAAAAAAAGAAGTTAAATAGGTCTCTGTCTCTAAAAAAGGTTCTGAACCTAGAAGAAAAGAACTTCCTTAGGAGCAGTGACCCTGAGCTTCTCATATTACATAAAATCTCTTTTCTCATATTATTCCGAGGATCATTACGCACATGTGAATTTTGTGAAAGATAAGTCTGATAACATAATGTACAAAGCCAAATACTTTTTTTTTTTTTATATTTTTATTTATTTCTAGGAGAGAGAGAGAGAGAGACAGTGCGAGCAGGGGAGGGTCAGAGACAGAGGGTGTCACAGACTGAAACAGGCTCCAGGCTCTGAGCCGGCAGTCAGCACAGAGCCCGACGCGGGGCCCGAACCCACAAACCGCGAGATCATGACCCAAGCGAAAGCCGGACGCCCAACCAACCAAGCCACCCAGGCGCCCCCAAAGCCAAATACTTTTAAGACTATTGTTAACAGCCTGCTATTGAGTCATAGTTAACTAAGATAATACCATCAATTTTTTGTCTAAATAGCTAAAAATCCCTCTATGAAACCAAAGTTATCTTTAGAAATATATAAAAGTTCCTTCTTCCCTCCTTCCCTCCCCTCTTTTCTTTCTTCACCCTTCCTTCCTTCCTTTTTCCTTTCCTTCCTTCCTTCCCCTCTCTCTTTCTTTTTTTCTTTCTGTTTTTCTTCCTTCCTTCCTTCCTTCCTTCCTTCCTTCTTCCTTCCTTCAACTCAGAAGAACTATAAAACCTACTAATAATGATATAGAAATCAACCTTGAGAAATCTATTTGTTTCACAGTTAAGCCTTCATTCTATAGTCGTGGGGACCTCTTGGTTGATATCCCTGAGTGTACCTGGCTAATGTGAGCAGCCCTTGCCCAGTATAAATCTGATTACAATACAGTATTGGCTTTCCATGTCTCCCCCTATAGAGCAATGCATCCAGCACCAGCTTCCCCTAAATGGATCATAAAGAAAAGTCATTCACACTGGCAGTGCATGCATATTACATTCCCATTGCCAAACAGCCCATATTTACCTCTTGTTGTAATGCAGACTTTAGTAGCCTAGTATAATTCAAAACATGCTATGAGAAACCACTCATTTCTTAGTAATGTGCTAATTATGTTGAGCTACTTGTGAACCTGAAATCGTTAACGTTACTTGAAGATGTCCATCCATATTCTGCATGTATACGGTGGCTATAGATTAAGTAGAATAAGGTTAAGATTTAAGTCGATTTTCCAAAGAGAGTGTTGGGGAAATTCCTTGTTTCAAATGTGTCTACATGTGTTGACATGGTGCAGTGGAAAGAAAGCGATCCTCCAGGGCCAAAACCCAGCTCTGCTGCTCGCTAGCTGTGTGACCCTGGGAAAGTAATTCCATCTTCCTGAGCCACAGCCATCTTCTCTGTGCCTTGAAGATAAAAGTATCTACCTCACAATGTGGTTGTGAGGACTGAATGGATCATGTGCACGAGAATGCTGTGTAGGCTATAGCCTGTGACATAGAAGTCTTGGAGCGCATCGCAGTGGGGAAGAAAACATTACGAAATGTAGTAATAATAATAATACCGTAAGTGCTAAAGTAAGTACCGTGGGAGAACAGAGGAGAAGTGTGCATCTCGGCCAAAGAGAGAGCAGGGCTCAGGAGGAGGCTGAGTCCGGCTGACTTTGGGAAGGATGAGGGATCAATGAAGGATAGGTGGGCTGGACTTCTTCCAGCAGGAAGACGACACAGGAGTTGCAGGGGGACAGCCTGAACCAAAGCACACAGGTAGGGGGAGTATGGGCCCTCAGGCAGCCGTATAGACGGAGCACAAGGATGAAATGGGAGATGAGGGCAGAGAGAAAGGAGCACCAGACCAGAAGAGCCTGTGAGCCACACCAAGAAATCTAGACTATCCCACATGTGACGGAAAGCCACTGAAAAGAAAAATGTCAAAACAAAAACAAAAACAAAAAACAGCAAAAACCAGACTCTGATTTACAATTTTTTTTTCTATATACTAACCTGTTTCTACTCTAGCTGTGTGCTCATAGACAAGAAGTCTTTGGGGACAAAGATTTTGACTGTAAATATATAAAAAGAAGTTACAGGGGCATCTGTAGGGCTAATTGCTTAAGCATCCAACTCTTAATCTGGGCTCAGGGCATGATCAAGTGATCATGTGGTCAAGGCTCACAGCTCGTGAGTTCGAGTCCCATGTTGGGCTCTGCACTGACAGCGCAGAGCCTGCTTGGGATTCTGTCTCTCCCTTTCTCTGCCATTCTCTCTCTCAAAATAGATTAATAAACTTTAAAAATAAAACAAAATACGAGGCACCTGGGTGGCTCAGTTGGTTAAGCATCCCACTTCGGCTCAGGTCATGATCTCACTGTTCGTGTGTTTGAGCCCCACACTGGGCTCTGTGCTGACAGCTCAGAGCCTGGAGCTTGCTTCAGATTCTGTGTCTCCCTCTCTCTCTGACCCTCCCCTGCTCCTGCTGTCTTTCTCTCTCTCTCTCAGAAATAAATAAAACATTAAAAAAATTTTTAATAAATAAATAAATAAATAAAAAGAAGTTACAATGCTTTTATTAAACTACTCTGCATCGGGTACTGAGCTAGGCCCTTTGCGTACATTATGCATTACTATTCATCTTCAAAACACGGATGCAACATAGGCATCACCATACAAATCTTAAGTATGAGGAAACTAAGACTGAAAAAAGATACAGTCCTTTGTCCAAGTTCAAAGAACTAGTAAGTACCAGAGCCAGCAACAGAAATTAGATTTATGTTACTATTTATTGATGCACTATCTTCCTGCTATGTTTCAGGTTATATGAGTTACTACTCACAGGCAACCAAAACTTCAGAGAAAAACAAGAATCTCAGGGCTTTGTTTTTTCAGTTAAATGAATTATTGAAATTACATTAAGTTTAATTTAATTTAACTTAATTTAAAATTCCAGTGTAGTTAACATACAGTGACATTTAGTTTCAGGTGTACAATATAGTGGATCAATAGTTGTGGACAAAAACAAAAACAGTTCTAGACATCACCCAGTGCTCATCACAAGTACACTCTTTAACTCCCATCACCTATTTTACCCATGCCCCCACTTATTCCAGCTACTTATGGATATTATATGACAGTATAAAAAATATACTTGCTGAAAAATTTTAAAATTCTTACCTCAAGTACTACTTCAACATATTATGTTTCTTAATCCCCACAAACATTATATTTGTTTTTAAAAGCCTGATACATATAGATATAGTCTAGAGCAATAGGTATTTGACCCCCAAATCAAGAGGTTAGTCATTCAAATCATGTTTTTTTAATTAAAAAGAGAATATCAGAAAGAAAGTCATTTTGGGAGTCACGAATGACTCAAATAGAAGTAATATACAGCATAGTAGCTATAGTTAATAATACTGTATAATATATTTGAAAATCACTAAGAGAGGGGCACCTGGGTGGCTCAGCGGGTTGAGCATCCGACTTCCGCTCAGGTCATGATCTCACAGTCTGTGAGTTCAAGCCCCATGTCAGGCTCTCTGCTGATGGCTTGGAGCCTGGAGCCTGTTTCATACTGTGTGTCCCCCTCTCTCTCTGCCCTTCCCCCATTCACTCACTCTCTCTCTCAAAAATGAATAAACATTAAAAAAAAAAGTTTTAATAAAGTACAAAATAAAATAAAAATAAATGACTCAAAATCTATGGCTTCTAAGTAACATTCTAAGAATTTTGCATAATACTTTACATAATCTTAAAGATTACTTTCAAATAACATAGTCTTATAAATATTTTCAGAGGCTTACCATAGCTTTATTTCTTCTACACTAGCTAACTTTACTCAGCTCCAAGATTTGGTTTATCAACAAGGGTGAAAAGTCTAATGAATTTTCAAAGTACAAAACAAATATTGCCAAACTCCACAAGAAGCACTAAAAAAATACACAGTACCGAGTCTGCATAAAATGCACACATGATTCATACGATTGAAAGGTTAGTCACTTATAATACTACTACTATTCTTTCTATTTGGACAAAATAAGGATGTACGTTTAAAAGAGGCTATGCAAAAAGATGCAAAATGAGTGCAAACAATTCCAAGCAAACCACGGTTAACCATTTTCACTACAAATGAAATACATACACTCAGAGTGAGAAACCATGATACCCAATTCCATCCAGGTACTTACTTTCTTAGAGAGCTGAGGTAGCAGTAAAGACCTTTACACATACTGAAAGGTTCTACACTTGGAAAAATACTGAAGAGAGCAAGAAAGTGGTATTGGAACCAGACGAGGGTAAGGTTTCCACAGTTGCTGTGGGTGTTACCCCACCCAACCTTAATTACCTTGCAGTGTAATATGGCGACCATCGATGCCCAAGGAAGCCTGTTCATCCTCAGTGGGTAGCACAGGACCAGACGCCATCCTTTCACTCAACTCAAGAGATTATATCGTGTCCATCTCGGTTAACGAAGTGAACTAAAAGGAAAAGGGATAAATGCTCATTAGTGACTCTGCCACTCCGCACCTCTAATACACATGCACTGCCAGAAAGCAACAGCAAAGGAAAACTGCCCTTCCAAAAGAAGCAGTTTTCTAGTGAGTGCTTCCTTAGTTCATGAGGAACAAAATGACTACGCCTTCTTGTTTTGAATCATAATCAAGATTTTGCCCTATGACCTATTCGAGTTGCTGGCAGGACTCCCAAAGAGCTAGCAGAGTGGCTTCTATACCAGTGGTGAAAGCTACCCAATTAGATTCCAGAACTTGTTTAGGGGATGTAAAGCTGACACAAACTGACATCTTAGGTGTTTGTGTGTACTTTGTTGTTAACTTGAGCCCACAAGAATTTCCCTTATAACTTTTTCTTTACTTAGTTCCTTTTCTGCTGCATAAATGTTGCCATTTTCTGGAAACAGTAACAACTGAGCTTGCAAAGTGAAACCAAAAAACAGAAGAAGAAGAAAAGAAATGAAAACTATATGAAGAAGAATGTTTTGATGAGGCTATCTATTACATTGAATTATTTTCCCAAGCACTAACTTTTCCACACATTTCTTTCTCTATCCCCACTCTGACCCTTAAAGAATCCTTCCAGTAAGAGGAATTCTAACTGTGCAACTTTTTACTGCTTCAGGTATGTATATGCCACTATGAGTATCTTGGGCCCTGAAAAACTTGACTTTTCCCATACAGATGATGACTTATCAAAATAAACCTAACCAAATATATAAAAATATAAAATGTATTAGGGAATGGATAGAAGAATGGGTAAATACAAAGACGCCTGGTCAAGCAAGTATAGCAAAACATTAGTGGTAGAATCTATGCGTTCAGCATATTAAGGATGCTCACTGTAAAGTCCTTTACCTTTCCTATACATTAGGAATTCTTTATAATAATATATTGGGAAGGAGACAACTGAAAATAAATATACCTGAGGCCAACGGTTAGATACAATCAATCATATCCAACAGATCACTTTATATGAAGAATAAAAATCATTCGATTTTGAAAAATCAGTCAGTTAATGCAAGAGCCAGTGTTCAAAACTCAGCTCTAGAGCAAGTAGCTCGTGGCGTCGGCGGGTTCCAGGAGTTTGCAGCTGCAGACAGGATGGCCGGGGTTGTCTGTAACGACTGGCTGGGGAAGAAGGTCCCCGCTAAGTGCTACACTGACGACACCATCGAGGACCTTAAGAAGCTAATCACAGCCCAGAATGGCACTCATTGGAACAAGACCATCCTGAAGAAGTGGTACACAGCTTTTAAGGACCACATGTCTCTGGGGAATATGAAATCCACAGAAGGATAAACCTGGAGCTTTACTACCAATAGAGCATAATTCCTTCCCCCTATTCTGCTCTGCCCCGCCCTCCCCTCTCTCCCGTCCTCACTCCCACACTGGTATGGATGCTTGTTTTTAAAAACTCATGTTAAAGGAGCCTGGGTGGCTCAGTCGCTCAGATGTCCAACTTCGGCTCAGGTCATAATCTCAGGGTTTGTGAATTCGACCCCCACAACAGGCTTTGTGCTGACAGCTCAGAGCCTGGAGCCTGCTTGGAATTCTGTGTCTCCCTCTCTCTCTGCCCCTCCCCCACTCACACTGTCTCTCTGTCTCTCAAAAATAAGTAAACATTAAAAAATATTTAAAAGCTCATATTAATGGCTCAGTCGGTTAAGGGTCTGACTCTTGATTTCAGCTCAGGTCATGGTCTCACGGTTGGTGGGATGGAATCAGGTGTTGGACTCGGCATTGACAATGCAGAGCCTGCTTGGGGTTTTCTCTTTGCTCCTTCTGCACTTATGCTCTCTCTCTCTCTCTCAAAAGAAAGAAATAAATGTTAAAAAAAAAACCATTTTAATACAATCTTAGAAATTGCAAAAAAGAAAAAAACCCAACAACTTTCAATTCCATCTTCCCCACTCCTGTTCATCATCCAAAACTCCTTTATTATCTCTCCCACGGATCACTGTTATTAAAGATTTTACCTACCAAATAAACTATGCTCGGGAATTAACAATTGATTTGTTTTGTCCTCAGAATTAAGATGAATCAGAGACCACCTGAGTTAACACTGTTACAAGTACTTAGTTAATATGCTCCTAACCAAAATGAAAAGCTGTTTGTCAGCTCAAGTGAGCCTGTGCAGCCTGACTGACGAAGGTACCAACGTTCTCAGCTTTGATGTAACGAGACCTCCCATATCCAAGGGCTCCTGAACCCAAGCACTTCTTCATGATGATGGGAGAAAAACTGAATTCCAGAATGAACTTCCTAAAGGCATCCACTATTCCGTGCCAGGACTATTTTTAATAATAATAGTAGCAAACACTTATATAGCACTTACTATATATAGATACTGTTCTAAGCACTTTGCACATACAACCTCATTTAATCTATCACAACTGTAAGGGTTGGGTACTCTGATTATCCCCGTATCTGAAAAAAACAAAACAAAGTCACATACAGTTGTCTATGGACACATAGCTAATAAATGATGGAACGAAGATTTGAATCCAAGCAGTTTTGGTTTCAGTCTATGCTCTTCACCAATGATTTGGCTGTCTCACAGAGCTGGCTAAAACTGCCATGTTTTGTTAATTCTTTTGTGCATTTATTCAACAACAACTGTTTATATGTCCTAGCTCCTGCTCTCAAGGAATTCAGTCTTCTGGGGATGACAAATGAGCACAATATTGAGCAAGATCCTCTAAGAAATGTATGTAGTAGGTACTGTACAAGCCAAAGAGGAGACACGTCCCACACTCAAGGCTAATGACAGATGTGACTGTCAGGAGCGCACTTATTACAAAACAGCATTTCACTCCAAATGGTCGCATTAGCATGATTTGAAGAATACCTGGAGTTTAATAAGAATGTATCTGAGAATCACTCATTGTCATTCACTATCTATCAAATATAAGGCATTAAAAGAAGAAGAAAGAATTTAAAATAAAAACAGAATAGAGAAAAAATTGATAACCAGAGAATCAAAGTTCCCGTGCTGGACTGGTATGTGAGACTCACTATTTTGCATATGAAAGTTGAAGGGGAAAATTACTGTATTAATAAAAAAAAAAAAAAGTCTGGACCTTAAACTAGCTACAATTGACCCTTGAACAACACAGGTTTGACCTGTGCAGGTCCACTTTTACACAAAGATTGTTTACAAGGCAGTACTGAAAATACATTTTCTCTTCTTTATATTTTTCTTAACATTTACCTTTCTCTAGTTTACTTTATTGTAAGAATATAGTATATATTAATATAACATACAGAATATGTGTTAATCAACTGGTTATATTGTCAGGAAGGCTTCCAGTCAACAGTTAGTCAACAGTACTAACAGGGTTAGTAGTTAGGCTTGGGGAAAGTAAAAAAATATACAAGTTTTTTCAACTGCATGGGGGGGGGGGCAGGGATCAGTGTCCCTAACCCCCATATTGTTCAAGGCTTGACTGTATTTGCCTGACAGGTTTCTATTTTTAACAGGATAAATTTATCAGCAACAATAAAGTCAATAAAGTATCACAATTTTTTATTTACTGAAAAATTTTTTAGAGCTTCTAAATTATGTCCATCAAAGGAAAACCGGAGGTGTCTGGGTGGCTCAGTCAGTTTAGCCTCCAACTTTGGCTGAGGTCATGATCTCACGGTTCATGGGTTCAAGCCTCACATCGGGCTCTGTGCTGATAGCTCAGATTCTGTATTTCCCTCTCTCTGCCCCTGGTCCACTGTGCTTTCTCTCTCTCTCTCATAAATAAATAAATTAACTTTAAAAAAATAGTAAAACCAAACTTTAAAGACTGACTCAGTTGGAAGTGGTAGATTATTAACTCCAAACTTGTCTTAGTACAACTATCTCTCAAAACATGCTACAGAAGTCATGAGGATCTGATGGAAGACGATTTTTGAAGACATTTCCAAAACAACTGTTTTTGGTGAGAAACAGTTGACATCTCCAGGGAGGAATTTACTTGCTAAAGAGGGCCTATGATAAACTGGAACAAATAAGAAAAGAAAGACTTTGAGAGATTTCTCAGGACCTGAATTGAGAAACTAGAAAGGGTCTTTTTCATAAAAAGAAAGTCAGAGAGAGGAAGAAGGGCGTGGCCATGGGCTCACAGGACTCCCAGGGTCTACCAGCCCAACTCCCATCACAACTTCTCTGTGCAGGTAGAATCAGCACAGAAGAGCTCTTCCCAGGGGCTCCCCATGGCTTTACTTTTCCTTTTCAAGTAAAAGTTACACACAAATATGTGACAAAGCCAGGCATTAGAACGAAAATAATGGACCATCTCCAGGCACACAACCAAAGACTGGGTGAAGAATTAGGCACTGGCATTAAAGATTCTAAAATCAAGTAAAATGGTGTGGAATTGTGTTTTTAAAATTCATATAAATTAATAGGCACACTTCTATAAATGGCATAGCTATTTTGAAAGGACTGTGGTTTTGCTTAGGCAATATATCTTTTTTGAAAAATTCCAGAATGTTTTTATTTTGTTTTTGAGAGAGAGAGAGAAAGAGACAGAGCACAAGCGGGGGAGGGGCAGAGAACAAGAGGGAGACACACAATCTGAAGCAGGCTCCAGGCTCCCAGCTGTCAGCACAGAGCCTGATTCAGGGCTCGAACTCACAAACTGTAAGATAATGACCTGAGCCGAAGTCGGACATTCAACTGAGACACCCAGGTGCCCCTAGGTATTATGTCTTAATATTTTTCTGGTGTCTCTAAAACCTCAAACACTAGAGAATTCCCCCTTTTTAAAGAAATCTTGGCATTTACTTTGGATTATTATACTTAAGATTTTTTTCAACTCAAAAATATTATTTGAATAGAGATTATCTCTCATGAATGGAATTATGGGTGATTTTTACTTCCTTCCTTTGCTTAATCTGCATTTTTAAAATTTCAAATGGTGAATGCATATTTCTGCTGCAATAAGGGAAATATTTTTGCTTTTAGTTTAATG